TTCATTAGTATGGCAGGTTCATATATAGGAAGATATTCTTGTTTTGTTTTGTTTCGAGGCAGGGTTTTACTGTGTCGCCCTGGCTGTCCTGAACTCACTCTGCAGACCAGTCTGGCCTCGAATTTACAGAGATCCCCCGCCTCTGCTTCCCAAGTGCTGGGATTAAAGATGTTCACCACCACCACCGAGCTGTAAGAGAGTCTCGACAGAGGTCTGGGAGTCTGTTCCTGAACCATTATAATGAGAAACTGTGTATTCACCCTGTGAAGCATCCTACCTGAAGGGATACCCAGTACCTTTGCAGTTTTGCTATTTAGTTGAGAAACTTAATTTTACTAAATATCACCAAAGAAGCTTAAAGTCTTTCAGGAAAAAAATGAAGGCTGGGAATATATGTATTTTTCCTCCTGATTATACATAAAAGCCTTCAGGTATGGGCACAGCAAACTACCTTATCTTTCACGACGGCTGCACCCTTTGGGAAAGAGTCATGGAAACGGCAGATACTGCTGAGCCAGTGGTTCTCCACCATCCTAATGCTGTGATCCTTTAATACAGTTCCTCACACGGTGGTGACCCCCAACCATAAAATTATGTTCATTGCTACTTCATAACTGTAATTTTGCTACTGTTATGAATTGCAATGAAAATAGCCGTGTCTTCTGCTGGTCTTAGGTGACCTCTGTGAAGGGGTCGTTCGAGTCCCAAAGGAGCCACAGCCCACAGGTTGAGAACCACTACTTGAAAAGCCACACATTATCAGCCATTTCTAAAAGTACATTTCCTCTAATGCACAGTGCAATAGAAAGGAAACGAAAGGAGTAGAAATAGAAAGGAGAGGCGAGATCCGGCCAACTGCGGTTTACTCGAATCTCGGCTTGACTCAGGAGCTATGTGATACTGAGCCAACTGAGCAGCATCATATGAGCCTTCAGCTCCTCCTTTATGGATTAAATACATTTAACAATCCATGTATTTGCAATGCTCCTAGTAATTTGCCTAACAGAATTAATGATCACACATTGTTCATTTCCATCCATCTCTAGTCTCTAATAGCTAAAGATGGAACTAATTGAATCATAAACCCAAGTGTAATTCATTTTTCTTTTCCTCATTAAATATTTGAGTGCTTTTAAATACTGCCTTGTGTCAGTTCGGGTACGCATAGGACCCAGACACAATAATGATACCCATGGATCTTGCTTTTAAGGTTCAGGAAGAGCAGGAAATGACGGGCATGTAAATTATTAAATGGTTATATTGTGGAGTAAAATCCTAGTGTAAAATATTATGAGAACCCACAGGGAAGGGGATTATTACTAAAAAGACACAGCTTTTAGGAGACTCTCGGTTTCTCATGGTCAAGAAAGGCAGAGGGGGGATCTGAAGATGGCCAGACTTGATGCTGGAGAGCTTCATAAGGGTGGCACTGCATTGCACAAGTTCTGATGTCTAGCAAAGCACTTTCTTCCCCCATTTTAGGCAGCTAAGACATTGTCCCGAGACAGCATACGAGCAATTAACTCCCCCCCACCCCCCGGCTTATGGGGCATCCTTAGACTCTGTAGTAGCAACCACAACCCTTTCAGGGGCTTGGCTAAGACTAGTTTACTGTGTAGTTCCACGAGTGTAGAGTTCTCCAGAGGGCACATGTGTGTGGTGTAATACCTTAAATGAAGAAGCAGAGTGAGAACCCATGTCTTCTACTTAAGCTAGGAAATAAGGAGATTTTCTGAAACGGAAAGGGGGGGGGAGAGAGAGAGAGAGAGAGAGAGAGAGAGAGAAGCCTTACCAATGGTTACTTTTCATTTTGTTTTGGTTTTTGAGACAAGGTCTCTCTCCGTAGCCTAGGCTGGCTGAACGTCACAACTGTCACCTTGCCTTAGCCGTCCAGATGCTGGGGTTACTGTTGTGAACCCCACACCTGGCGGCTCTTCCTTAAAGTCTGTTATATAGGGGCCGAAAGATAGCAGCACATCAAGGTGTTCATTACTGAACCGTAGTGGGAGGGAAGAAGCATCTCCAGTGAGCCTTCCTCTGCAGACAGTGATGCAGGCGTCATTTCTGACTTTAAGGCAACGACTATACTCACGGCCTAGGATGCTTGGTTGCATGCCTTAATTTCCTAGGCGCTCACAGCTGTCCCGCAGCTGAAGCACTGGCCTTTGGAGACAAGGTGGGTAACTCTGAGATGTGACGCTGTGGTCCAGACATCAAAGTTTCTCAATCTGAGATGAAGGGCGAAGATGGCTGGAGAAAATGCCCCAGAATAGCCTGCGCTGCAGCTGTTGGCACTCCCAGGGGAGGCGGGCAGAGGGATGGCTTCCTTGCTCTTCTTCTGATAGCTAGTGGCACTTCCGGGACTTCTATTAAACGGGAGTTTAGAGGAAACAATCTCATTGAATAAGGGATTAGGTAATATTTTTGTTCGAGTATATTTAAAACATACACACACTTAGAATGCATGCTGATTTTTGAGGGTGTTCTTGGTTATAAGAGGGTGCTAAGGCCGGGCGGTGGTGGCGCACGCCTTTAATCCCAGCACTCGGGAGGCAGAGGCAGGCGAATCTCTGTGAGTTCAAGACCAGCCTGGTCTACAAGAGCTAGTTCCAGGACAGGCTCCAAAACCACAGAGAAACCCTGTCTCGAAAAACCAAAAGAAAAAAAAAAAAAAAGAGAGGGTGCTAAGGACTTCTGAACCATATCACTGCTGAGAATACATCTATGTTTTTGTGTGGAAGCCTTTGAAATGAAAGAATAACAAGGTTTGATTGAGTTTTGACCAGAACTGTTTTGCTATTGCCGTTTACATTTGTAAATCTATATTCTGCCCAGTGAGGATTAGCCAAAAAAATCAAACTGCCAAAAGATTTTTTTAAAAGTTTGAAACAGCTGAATAAGTGATAGGAATAAGCATGATAATAGACTCTGTCAGCTCTGGGATCTTAAGAGAGCAACATAGTCACAAGTAAACAGGCAGTTGGGAGAATCAAAGGTTGTGGCCACGGGGCTGGAAAGATGGCTCGGAGGGTAAGAGCACCGACTGCTCTTGCAATGGGCCTTGGTTCAATTCCCAGTACCTACATGAAGGGTCCCAACAATCTGTAACTCTAATCCCACTGAACCTGACATCCTCTTCTGTAGGCACCTCTGTAGGCACCAGGCACACATATGGTGCACATATACACGTGCAGGCGAAACAGTCATCCACACAAAATAGAAGTAACTCTTAAAAAGAGGTTGAGGCAGGCAGTTGATCACAGAATCTCTGTGCCTTTATTACAGTCGTGGTCCTGCTCAATGGGACACAAGGTATAGCCTCAAGAAACTTGCAACATAAATTGGATGTCTGAGATGCTCCGTCTAGTATGGTTTCGAAACTATCTTGTAGCGTCTATTGTTCCTGCAGCCTAATTACAGAGGGGAAATAGAATGAATGAAAAGTGAGTGAGGTGGAGGGATGATTGGGTTAAACTATGGAGGCTTATGCTGGAGCTACATGCTCCCAGTAATGTGTGTCTGGCTGGCTGGTAGCCGAGCTGGAGCCTAACACCTCATTCTGGTAAGGAAGAAATCGAGATCTGTCCAGCCACGTGTCCTGCCTGATAACCCAGAGGACCAACAGCAACGCCAGGTTCTCTGACTCCCATGCTAGGGTCACGACGCAATCCAACACCTTTAATAAAGCTAAGGTAGGTGCCAGTGTCTCTTCATGCTCACAGTGCCCTGAAGAGCCAGCCCATCATCCATTTTTTTTTTTTTTTGAGTAGACTGGAGGCTTCTACAATCGTTTGATCACCTTGCACAGAATTTTTTTTTTTTTTTTTTAGTGAGGAAGTTTTCTTCAGTCTTCTCGGTTACCAAGATGTAATTTATTAATCTAAAACCCTCAGTCTTTGTAATAACAGACCAGAAGGGCTTTTTAAAATTATTAATTTATGTTTACCCACCCTTCCACATTCATACCCTAAACATATATGAACGCTTTTCAAAATTTCTATTTCTCCTTTGGCCTCCCTTCTGATTTCCGTTTCTTGTTTCATCTCTACCTGTTCTTCCTCTCATGGCTTCAAAACTCAGCAGGAAGCCAGTTTCCTCTCCACAGATTTCTATTTCTGTCAATGACACCATCATTCTTCCTGACACCCAGGTCTCAAATCCTGGCATCATCGCTTTCTTCTTTCCCAATCGAATGGGTCACCAATTTCTGTGGCCTCTTTCTGAAACATGTCTCTCAAAATTCCAGTTTTCTTTTTTATGTTGCACCCTCTAACTCAGGTCCTCGCAGTCCTATCTGTAAGCAGGAAGTGACAATATCTCCCATTAATCCTGTTTCCCATCCCCAAGCAACTCTCTAAATCACCACTAAAATGAATGGGAAGTAAAGAACGTGACTTAAAATCTTAGGGCTTGTAAGCCACGCGCTCCAATATCAAGCAATGCGCTAAAACAAACACCCACTTTACTCCGCTCCCACTTTCCATAATTCTCCAAGTGTGTGCATGACTAAATTCTTATTCAGAAAATGACTCTCCTACTTTTGCAATCTCTTCTCTCTTTCCTCTCCAGTTCCATTCTCCCCAGCCAATTTTTTTATTATTATTATTTCCTAAAGTCCGGTGCCACTTTTTTTTTTCTTCCACATTTGCAATGGACTCTGTCACCTCAATGTGAAATCTCAGGGACTTCACCTTAAAGTCACCAACCAGAGCAGCAGTCCGTGACTCCTCCTCAAAATTCCCAAAGTACCTGTTGATGGTCCCAACTGAGGCACCTGCAACCCTGTCTCCACAGAAATCGACTTCCCTGTTGTCCCCCTCCCAGGCAGAGCACCAGGTCCCGCGGGGGCGTGCAGCACCTGGGGTCTGTGTGACCCGGAGCCCCGGTCTTTCCTCAGGGCGCTGGGCCGGGCGTGCCGGGAGGCTGGGGGGCTGGCGGTACCGCGCCCGTAGGTAGGTGGTGCTGTTGCAGCGACGTCGTCCTCATTGGCGCCGCGCGGAGAGGCGGAATGTTCAACTCCTGACTCCGGCGGAAGCGTGGGAGCAGCGCGGGCCGCCGTCCCCGACCCCCGCCGCCGCTCGCACCCGGCCCGGGAGCCAGGTAAGGGTCACGGGGGACCGGGGAAGAGGGAGGGAGCACCACCCTGGAGGTTCGCTCGGGCCCGGGCCCGGACCTGGACCTGTGGGGACTAGGGCTGCACGGGTGCGGGAGGCCGGGGCTCTGCGGGCGGCTGTCCTCGGCCCGCGCCCTGTGCCCTGCAGCCCTGCGCCCGGTACCCTGAGGCCCCGCGGTTCTCTGTCGCTGGGCCGAGTACGGCTTGGGCATGCCCGGGACAGTCCCGTGGAGCAGTCGGTGCCCGGAAGAGCCTGGCCTCACACAGCCCGGGCGCCTGCGGCGGCTGCCCTTCCCAAGCACCTTTCCCTTCCGTGGGAGCACACGCGGGTGTTGTGGGCTCGGGGACCCACACCCGATTTGGCTGTGAGTGTCTCCGGGCCGCAGCCATGCCTCGCCCCGCTGTGACAGCTTCCCGAAAAACTTTAATTCTAAACTGCCCAGATGACATGGAACTGCCTGAAAAACAATGTGGCACGTCATTGTTGGGTTGCTCAAAAGTGTATGTTTCTCATGCGCCTGGAGATCCTGCATAAGCACTGTTTATGGGGAACATAATTGCTATTTTTGTTAGTTTCGTTAATAATGAAAGCGCACCATTTGGTGGCCCGTTCCAGCGATTTCACAATAAGCAGCCTTCATTAATAATGCGTATGAGAACCGGCTTCCAGAATGGATTGAGGATATCTGAGTTCAGGCTGTGGTTAAAGTGTCTTCCTGTTTTACCCCAGATGGCTTTCTTGACCGTAGATGAAAACGACTATCAGGATTTAGTGGATCCAAACCTACCAAAATATTTAACGGTAAAAATAAACAAATGGTCCAAGACCAGACTTCTTTGTCGTAGGCCTGTTTCTACACTGACATTTCATGCCTTCTTTGATTTTTTTTTTTTAAAAAGTGACGGCTGCATTTTAATTATGGTCATTTGTGAAGTCTTTGTTTTAGATTTCTGCTACAATAGTGAGAGATTTGGGAGATTGTAAATGAACATGAATTTAGCTTGTTTGGAAAGAGAATTATGATAGAGGAAAATGGTCGTTTGGAACACTGTGTACTGTTTATTTTAAACTTTTACAATATAATTTCTACAAGTACTTTTTGGAGTTATTGTGAAGCGTGTTTGTGTGTTTTAAACTTAACAATGTGCAAGTCAAAAGTTTAAGTGGGGAACATTTTATTGTCCAGGGAAGCGAGTAGATGATTGATCCTTTAAAAGTATTTTTTGGGAGGGGGGATATGCATAAGAACACATTAAGAGAAGTAATAACCAAATATTAAGCGCACAGATTTAGATCTAAAAATGGATGGTCAAAGATCTTGGGAACTGAGGGACCTTCTAGCCAAATAAGGAAACTTGGCAAGCTGCGCTGTGTATTTTAAGTTAGTGCAGAGTGAGTGCTATTGGCAATACATTGGCTCCGTGCCTATCTGGGCTCAGCAGTGGAACTGAGTCTGATAGGGCTGTAGAATTATCAACAGGAGTTACGAAGGGCGTGGAGTGAACAACTGAATCATCAGAGGATCTACTGGAGAAATTGCAGGGACGTTTTGTGAAAGAGGTCAGAGGAAGCTCACAGTGCGCCCAGCAAAACGGACAGTGGAGTTTAGAGCTTGACACATTCAGAGAAGAGCCAGTGAGATCCCCTGTTCCACTGGGAAAAGGTGTGCATGGTGATACAGTGTTATCAGAATAAGAAAGCCTCTGTACCCTCAGATGTTGGGGATAAAAGTTGGGATCATTTGTTTTCCATTTTATTCTGCCCTGGACAGGTTGACAAGGGACGGGGACTGGTCTATCTAAATATAATAGCAACAGCTGAGACACCTTCTGTCTTACTATGGGGAAGATTTAGGCTGCTTCCTTTGTGCCTATTAACCTTGACCCACTGCACATAAACAAATATAGTTACATCTGTATCCGAAGTTGTTACTTGTGAGGGAAGAGAGCCATGTATGCCAGATAGTTTGACTAACACTTCAGGGGCTTTTGTTGCTGACCCTGGAGAGACAGCTGAAGCATTGAGTAAAACAGGAGTTAAATAATCCCAGCCTACTAATACACCGTGAGAATGGGGGGAGGGGCACATCTGATACTTTACTCATTGACACCATTGCTTGTAGAAAACTAAAGCCTCAAATACGTGGATGGTAAACCATCGAGCTATTTAAGAGGAAAATCAGGAGGCAGTAAATGATGGAGTAGAATATGCGGTGGAAGAAAAGGAGGTGACCCAAGGTGAATCCCAGTTTTGTCGTTTGTAAATGAGGCTTGGCTGACATTTACACCCTTGGGAGGCAGTGATACCTGCTTCCTGGGAGATGTCTATGAGACAGCGTGTGGAAATGCCGGGGCTAGTCCGGGAAACTCCAGCTTACCGCGACTGAGTGCAGAAAGGGCTTTCCCACGTTTCTCAAGCTGGGGGCTTGCTTCAGCTTTGCCCGGCAAGGCTTGCCCACACACAGTATTTTGCCTTGTTCCTGTCGTACTTAAATGCATATGCTGAGATGGGGTCATACTAGCCACTCCTCTTGTGTACAAGGGTTTCTAAAGCAATTCTGTAATATTCTGTGTTGGGGACACATAGATAAAATCTTTGGAAGTTAGGGAAACATGGGAAGGCTATGGCTGAGAAGCAGAGCTAAGATCTCTTGGAACCGTTTGTAGGGCTCCTTTTGAGTACTTCCTCTCTCTAGGGTCCATCAATCCTTTCTGGACCCATCTCTGGACTTCACATAGGAAACCCCAAAAGAGAAGGAACAAGTTTATCTCTAGGTCACAGAGTAAATACTTGCTTAAGCTTTTCTATCAGGATACCCTATTGTGAAGGAGAAGGACTGTGTCCCTTTGCGGGTCTGCAGCCAATAAGCACCTCCAAAGTAGGCAGACATTTGCTTTAAAAATCTTTCATTTAACCCTAAAAATTCATGTGGGCTTTCCAGTCTTCTCTTAACTCCACTAAGCAAAGCAATATAAACAGACACATTTACTCCTCCACATCTTAGAGTCAGATGGTTGCTTCAAGGTCAGAAAGTAGGATTCACTGACCTCCTCTGCAATGTCGTATGCTACTTATGTGGGAATATGCAGACGGGAAGATGGGGTCGGCCCTGCTGAGGTTTGTAGCCCCAGGTTGATGGAAGAGGTAAAGTGACTCCATTTTGCTAGGGAAAGAATGGAATTAGTTCATCCATCCCAGGAATCTATAGAGTCTGTGGTTCTCCTGATGGTCTCAAGATGGAAAGAGCGCTTTACTTTGGGGATGGGAGAGAAGAGTTCGAGACGGACATTGGAATTGGACCTCTCCAGCTATGCGAGAAGAATTCCAAGAGTGTGGCCCCGGAACTTCTACTATTTCCATCAGCCATGTAGACTGCTGAACATCCCCTCGCGTTTACTGTCAGATGCGCCTCCCAGGAAAGGAAGACGGTCTCTCAGGACCTCATACTAGCCTGGTTAGTCATGCTAGTGAGGCTGGAGCAGGCTTTACAGACACACCCATTCTTGCCTCGCTGATGCAGGATCTCTTCTCCACGCCCCCACCTCCTGCTGAACACTCAGGCATGCGTCACGCACTGCTAAGAGGGCAGAATAGATTCTTGCGGGGCTATCCTAGTCACCAGCAATTGTGCAACTTGTACCCACAGCTAATTTCTACCTCTCAGTCAGCAAAGCGTAATCTGGATCTTGCTTTTGGCTAATTTGAATTTCCTGGTGTCTGTCTTATCTTTCATCCGCCTTCAGCTGATCCGGTTCTGACCTGCATATTGATTGACCCTTGTTAGGAGGCATTCCTTCCAGCTACCCAGGCTGAGCTTGCACCTTATTTGTCAGAAGCCAGGCTGCTTGGGTGTTTCCTGATTGACAGGGACAATTCTGGAGGAGAGAACTGTACAGCAAATCCCCAGGATGAGTGGGAGGCTGGCTTAGGATTTGGGCCTTGCCCCCAGAAGAGCCCCACTCCGAGGCACCTGGGCCTTCGTCTAGGCAGCCCCAGAACTATGTCCTCTCTGTGTTCTCCGTCTTTACTCAGCGGCAGTCCCATCTCTTTTCCCACAAGAGCTGCTCCAGTAGCCCCGGACGTGGATGCACTTTCTCATTGATTTTATTTCTGCTAACAGCGTTTCTGGCAAGGTAGTAGGCCACGGAAGTTGATTTTCATTTATTGGAATATTAATGGATGCATAAGAATGTTTCATTTAACTAGCTTGTTTTTACTGTAACCTTTGCTCCAACTGAAGAGTCATGTTACATAGATGGCGAAGCACAGAGAGAGAGGGAGATCATCCGTTCTCGTCTAGACTCATTTAAAGCTGAATTTCTCATACACATGCCAGAAGGAGCCCTGTTTCCTGGGTCCAACCTATGTTATGTGAGGGGTTCTTTTCTGAAAGCCGTTTAGAAGAAAATAGCAAAGTAGACATGCTTCTAGTTAGTTTTCCTAATAGACTTAGTTATCATTAATGATTTTCTTTTTTAAAGACGGGCACAGAGCAGTCTGTTCAAGAATTGTGTTTTTAAATCTCTGGCCCTGACATTATGAAGAAATATATCAAACCAAAGACTTCCCTTTTCTTAGAAAAAAAATATGCCCTTAAAAGAATACAGGGCAGCAATTCCAAACAGCATTATAAAGCACACGACGATATGTGGTTTTGATACATTTACTTACTGAACTGTATGAAGAAACACACATCAGTTGGCTAGAGGTTGAGGGCTGCTTTTGCAAAATTACCTTTAAGTTTTTTTAAAAAATTTATTTATTGTTTATGTATATATATGTTTGGATGCTCAAAATGTATGGAGGTCAGAGGACAGCTTGTGGGAGTGTCATCTACCACGTGCGTTCCTAGGATCGAACTCAGGCTTGCTGGCAAGTGCTTTTACCTGTCCAGCCATCTTGCTGACCCCCAAATCCTTTCTTCTTCTCTCCCTCCCGTCCTTCCTTGTGTGCGTGTGGTATATGCATGTTTATGTGTGCATATAC